CGCAACCCCTTGAGGAAAGGCTGCTGTGTGTGCGACAGCGCAGTGACAGTTATATATATATATATATAAATGCACAAAGTTGCTCTTGCGCCTAGTAGGTTCGAGGCACTTGACGCAAAAGATGCTGTGGTTAGTAGGTACAGTATTGTATTTTGGCTGATACAGTACTGTAGTTTGGCTGGTATCCATGCACCTCTTTTGCTTGAGCGACTCTCCCATGCTAGGTGCTACACTTTCCCTAAGACCCGTCGCACTGTGGCAAACACGGCGGCGGGACATGACTTGAAGGAGTGCAGACACAAAAGGGCTAAGCCGACTCAAAAGATGGCATCCAACCCAGTTAAGACATGAATATTCTCTAGGGTGTTTGTCATATATGGGCTGCCTATGACGTCCTTTTTGCGGCATGTGTTGCCTTACATTCTCCACTATATCACTATCGACCTACATGTTCACCCGGCCGTCACGGAGATGGCAGGATGGTGGCCCTGTCAAGACCGACACGGGTGGCCTCTCACCAGGTAGCGGACACCTGGCAATGCTTGGGAATTGGCTACAGACTCATGGCATTCTAGTTTGGTTTCGCATAAAGACGTGTTCAAACCCCAGACTGGGGCACAAATCACCTTTGGAATCCCTAGAATGATTCCATGAGACTGGTAAGAGACAATCAATGAGCTTAGTTGTCTTCATTAGAAGATCGAAGCGTTGTCTTCTCCATGTACTGCTGCTGGTTTGTTGCTCCACTTCTCTATTTGATCTTTACTCCAGGCTTCATCTACGAGCTCCACTCCACATTTCGACCGATGTACGGGACTCGCACTTTGGATGGCAGTCAATCCTGTGTCAGGACGGGCTGGGTCAGTCCCAGAGCACAGTCCGATCTGCAAAGGCATTCAATGACGATATTCAACGCATTCTTTGGACTAGTTCTGGAAGATGTGCTCCCAGATGTTCCACTCCACTCCCCAACATGTCTAAAAGTGCGGCTTTGGACATGGTGACGCTAGGAGGAAGACTCGAAGGCGCTTGGGAGAGCAAGTCAAGCCTCGCGTGCGGTGCTACCCAATGAGCTTTGAGGCAGGATGCCGGAACTGCAGGAACTCAAACGAAAAGGAGCAGCGCGAAATGCTGCCAAAGCCCATGTTGGATGTGCAGGAAGATGCAGCTCAAAGTGAGGGCAACTGACAATTCTTGACTGCTCGGTGGCTCAATCGCTAGTGCCAGTAGCAAGCATCTTCAAAACACATGACAAAGAGTTTCAAAACGCAACACTGGGTACGAAAGCAACTCGGGCTTTTTCAGCCTCTGTTTCACATGACTTTGGATGCTCCGCAAAGTGGAGAAAAGCAAGTGCCACGTGGGGGGGTGCATCTACAAGAACCAGACAAAACTTGTCAGCCTTGTTATCCACTACATCAATGCAGTTCCTTTCATTGGAACAATGAACATGCGTATAGCCATGCACACGAACGCACACGTTTACTTTATGCTGCATGATTGTAGTTGATGCAGCAAAAGCATCGTGTCCGCGCCAGCTCAAGCAGTAGAAGCAAGCTCAGGCCACATGTATAAAGATGTTGCCCCCAGACCCAATGCCGTTCCGAAAAAGGTGATTCGGACCCTAGCCAAACTGGGGAATGCTTGGGAGCCCCCAAACTTGGGTCCATTGCTTCAACCTGCAATGAAAGACACGTCAGAATACTTCCGATACAACGTGATACAACACAATCTGTCACAAATAAGGAACAATAGCAAAGAAGCAGGCAAGCAGAGTTCGCATGCCAACAAGACCTCAAGAGGTTTCTTCAACCACACCAGCTGACATAGCTTGCTTGATAGAATTCGTTTCACTTGATTGCTTAGATTTGTGTCAGTACAAGCTGCAAGGCTCGCGGCAGGACTCCAAGGGGCGCTGGCATCCAACATCCGTGAGATCTGAGAACTTTGTTTTGTAAAGGTGTTTTCTATTTACAATTAACATAATTTAACTATTTCTTTTTCCCAGACCGGGGGGGTAGGCCGTGGAGGTAGGTTAGCTAGGGAGTCGGTAGCTAGTAGAAGCTAGGTAGCCAGTAGCTTAAGTAGCTACTACCTAGGACGCTGGGCTATAGGCGGCGGGGGGGAGCTTCCTTGAAGAAGCGCTCGCACTAGTGATGTGGTTCCTAGATTTTTGGGGAAGCTTAACTATAATAGTATGTTGCTTCATGTCGTTTTCACCTGAATGTGTGTTTTCCACACCAAAGTCATGAAATAGAAAAACTGTTTTTGGTTGCACTTCACTTTCCAAAACAGATCATGATCATGACACGTGTCTCTTTTTTGAGTTACTGGCCTGTACTCCATGCACAAACCATCGTCTCCACCCAAAACTAGAACCGAACGACTCGAGGCTTGCCATGGCTGATGCATCGCCAGAGGTCGAGGAGGCGACCCGTCCGGCGAAGTCTCAGCGAGTGGAGTCAGTACTTGGAAGCGAAGGGAAGAGACCAAGAGGATATAATGATGGATATATGGTGATCACAGAGAATTCTTTATCATGTCATGATGAATGTGTATATAATTGTATATATATATATATTGTGGAGTATATTGTGGTGGCAGAACACAAAGGAACAATTCATGCAAAGCTTTCCTTTCCTGATCTGTGCCAAACGGGCAGGTGTCCACAGAGTCCCCAAAGGGGGAGATGGAGGTGGAGCTACAAAGGCGACCGCCACTGTTTTTGTCGAATTGTTTGTGGTGAACGTCTATATTATATGTGACTTCAATGGCTTTTGAACCATTCCAATTTGTATAGTTTTGGTTTTAGTGTTGAGGCTCTTCAACTGTTTGAGCTGAGCTTAGCAGGGCTGACCAATGATCTATTCGATACATCACGGGCCGTGGATCATCACGGGCACCAATCACTGCAAGTCTTGCCGCAGGTCCTTCTCTGTGATCAACGAGGAAGCTGGCACTCCTTGGGGTGGTGGTGTTGAGGTGCTTCACTTCAGTTCAAGTTGAACCTGACGTCGCATTTCTACATCCACACAAGACCAAAACGATCCAAAACGATGATTGATGGGTGCATTTTCTATAGGACCGAGTGACCGACTGGAGCCCGAGTGTTTTGCGCAGGGTTTGACCGTCAAAGTCGGAATCCTCGCCTCGGACATCGAGAACCTCCGCGAGGCGGCGAAAGCAGCGGAAAAAAGGATAGGAATTCGCCATCAACGGCCCAAAAAGCTAAGCTACTAGGAGCAAAGGGCATCGAAACGAACGGAGCAAGGACGCTACTAGTAGCTCCTGGCCCTACTACTAGGAGCTAGAAGCTACTAGGAGCAAAGGGCATCGCTACGA